ACTTTATCAGCACTATTAATTATTTAAACACTTTCTCCTGTAACACCAGTTATTTTTATATTACTATTATTATTCCATGATTTTATTAAAAATTTTTAAATATTGTTATATCACTTCCTATGTCTATTAAAGCACATGTTGTAATATTTATTTCTACAATAGTAATTTGGATATACACAACCAATGGAAAAGTTATCTGATTATTCATCTAATTCTTTTTGCATAATGTAGTTTGTTCATTATGAATAATATATAATCCTTCTCTTTTTATACTATAATTTTCTAATCCATTTAGAAAACTCATTCCTAAAAGTATATGGGGATTTATATCCATACTTCTATCTATATAACATTGTACTATAAGATCTATTCCTCCTATTTTTATTGGTAATTTAACTTCTAAATCTGTTAAATGTACTTGTCCATCAAAATTTACATATTTATACGGCTCAGTTTTATGAGTTATTAAGCCTTTATTTCTAATAGAAGTTATATGGCATTTACTAGCTCCTGTATTTATTAATATATTTGGTCTATTTATATTTTCTCTTCCATTATAATATTCTCCTTCTATTTTCCTGTTTCCAACATTTCTACACGGTTTTACTTCTTTTATTTTGCTACTTTATTCTAACTGGTTTTTATTATGTATTTTAAAATTTTTTGATTTTTTTATTAATTTTTCATCCTTAAATGTTATGTTATTAGAACACTTTCCTTCATTTAATTCTGTTATTTCAGGTTTATTTTTTGATATACTAAATTCATATTCTTTAGGAATTAAACTTATTTGTTTATTTGATTTTATTATTTTTCTAATATCTTTACATTCTTTATGAACTTCAATATATGGTTTATTGGAATAAATATTTTCATAATTAGAATTGGTAAATGTATATAAAGCTCTATATTTTATAGTCATAATTTGATCACCTGGTTGCATAATATCATCTCTATGAAACTTGAAATGCAGTCCTAAAACTTCATTAAAATTTCTATCTTTTAATGATACACAATATTTTGGATAACATGTAAACATAATTTTTTGATATGCTAAATTTTCTTCTATTGTTCCTAAATGACCATCTTTTAAATTTATTATACTTCCATCATGTAAGGTTATAGTTAAGGGTGAATCTATCCCTTCTCTAAATAGTGATTTAAACATTATTTGTATTCCTATTAAATAAACATATTGGATTTTTTCACTTTGTTTTTTACTAATCTTTGTTAATAGTTCATCGACTGTATTTTTCGTTAAAAGATTTATTTTATGTTGCCCATAAGTCATTCTTACATCTATTATTTTTTTCTATTTTGTGATATTCATTTATTACTATTCTTTCTCTTTTCCAAATTCTATCAAAGACTTCCCATTTTCTTATTTTTAAATCTAATGAAAATTTTTGTAGTTATCTAAATTTATTATTGTCAAAAGTGACTTTTAATCCACATCCTTCTATTCCTTCATATTCTTATATATTTATATTATTACTTTCTATTTCTTCAATTTCTTTATTTAGATCCTGATACATTTTCTTCTGCTTCACTTATATATACTTTTTGATCATAATATTCTTCAATATCTGCAGGGCCGGACCTGTGTTTTGTAGGGCCCGAGGCGAACTTCAGATTTTGGGCTCATAAATTATAGCAAGCAATTAATTTTTTTTTCCATTTATAAGAGATTTAAAGAACTAAATTTATTAACTTAAAATCAAAAAATAAAACAAAGAAAATTAAATCAAATGACAATGTGAAAATGTTCCAAAATTGATGACCCAATCACAGTTCACACCTTATAATAAAAGATTAAAAGTACTAAAAAATTGCTCACCTTAAAACAATTGCTCACTTCACTTGCTGTTAGATTACTTGAAGAGTTAAACATGGATGGCAAGATTAATCATTAATGGATGAATTTCAGAATTTCAATCATCCAAAAACAGTTAAACAAGGAAGACCCTGCACAAGAAGATAATGGAGATAAGGCTGACAGAATCTTAGATCGAGGTTGTGTTGAAATTAAACCATTCACCACAAACCAATTCGAGTGAAAGATCAACATAACAACCCAATAGATTTACACAAATAAATCAGATATCTTCCAAGTTTGGTGAGTCGGTGACATTAACATAGAATATGACAGATTTTGATACTCGTAGAAAATGAAATAATAACAGAAAACGAATTAATACCCATTTTGAATCTCACCCAAAACAAAAAATTGAATTAATAACATTACAGAAGCAGCATTCCATTCCATCTCATTGCCGACGGATCTTGGGGAAAATAAATTACTTACCAATGATTTCGAAAATAGACCGGAGAATGCGTGACTTCAGATTTGTCGACGCCCGTCGCCGATCGAATTTTGCAGCGAGGAGAATCTGCAATTTTGTGGACTCGTCGTGGAACCGTGGAGAGATGATGTAGATTAGAATATTTGCAGTTGGGCTTTAAAACAAAAAACGTAAAAATAAAAAAAAAAATTATACAACTAATTTTGGGCCCCCCAATATGCTGGGCCTGAGGCAGAGGCCTCTTGAGCCTCTCCTCAGGTCCGGCTCTGAATATCTGATATTTCACTTAATTCATCTTTTATTTATAAATATTCTTACTTTCTTTTTATCACAATCAGAGTTTATATGACCTATCTCTCCACAATTCCAACATTTGGATTGGCTTTTATTTTGCTGTGAATTATATGGATTATTTTTTATTTTATAATACATTCTTCTATGTTTTATATATTTTTTATTAAAATTTCTAAATTTTTTAAACTTTTTATTTTTATATTTTCTTTTATTAACTATTCTTTCAGAATTACATCCCCATTGCACAGGGGTTTCCATATCTCCACAACATATTTTAGTTAATTTTCCTGATTTTTTTCATTAATTGTCTTTGTTGACATATATATACAAGTCTTTCAAATTAAAATTTTATTCTTGAACCTAAAGTTTTAGGTATTCTAGTATTATCTCTAACATATTTTTCAAATTCTATTTTAAAATATATTCCCCATGAACCTGGTAACTTATTATAAAATTGAACATAATAGTAATTTTTAAATTCACAAGTATATTATTTAATTTTACACATATCAAATATTGTTAAGTTTATTAATTTTATTCTAGCATTATCTTTTTCTCTTATTGATTTTTCTTCAGCATTTCTTATCCAATTTTCTCCTAAAAATTCATCAGAAATATATTCTACTAATTTTTCTATAACTTGTCTATCTAATTTGATTATTTCTGTTTGTACATTTCTTTTTATCAATATTTTTGTATCATTACTTATTCCTTCCCACCAATTCCTAACATCTCCTTCAAAAGATGCTATTAAGAAATATATTCTTCTTTCAGTACTCTCCCAAGTGTCATCTTTATTATATAAAATGAATAATATCATCGAGTCTGCCCAAGTTAATAAAGCCTCTTTAGTATCTATTTTACAATTTAAATTTAGTTTTGTTCCTCCATGATTATTTGGTTTATCATAATTATCATTTAATTCAAACATATCTTTATATTTATTTCCTTTAGGTGGTTGTCTATCTCTTATTTTATCATAAAATTGTTTATATGGTTTATTATATATAGGTGCATAGCTTTCATCTGTATTATGTAATTCTTGTTTAGAGGTTTCTGTTAGATTAAGTCCTCCTCCAGTATTCATTAAAACTTGGTATTCACTTATATCAGTTAAACTCAATTGATCAAAATTTTCTATTATAAATCTAACTCTTCATTCATTTTTATCTTTTTTCTTGTATTTTTAATTTTCCTAATGATTTTTCTCTAGATTTTTCTTCTTCTTCTAGTATTTTTGGTAATATATTATTTCTAAATTCATCATCCATGCTTCCTATTTCTATCACTATATTTTCTTTTTCTATATGTTTCTTTCCTATCCGAGTCATTTCTTTTTCTACAAGTTTTTTTTTCTTATCTTTATTTTTCTTATTTTCTTTTAATTCTCTAATCTCAATTTTTAATATATTTATATCGTTTCTTGTTTCTTTTACTTCACTTCTCAAATCTTGTATATCATTTATTAACATTTTTATTAATGATTTTTATTCTTCCATATATTCACTTATTGACATTTTAACTTTTTCTTATTTCCAACCCATAAGTTAATTTGCATCTTTTATCTTATTTTTTATCTATTATTTTCCTAAATCTTCTTTCAGTTGTTTCTGGATTTACTAATTCATTCTTTACTATAGTAAAATATTTGCTCTCAAGTCTTAGTCTTTCACATTTTAATTTTGTTAATTGTCTTTTTTTGATATTCTCATTCCTTCTGGTATTAACATTATATTTTTTATTTCTTCTTGTATTTTATCCATTTTTAAAAGTAATTTATTCAATTTTTGTTGTGTATTATCAATTGTACTCATATTTTTCTTTATAATATAAATTATTTTCTTCATCTTCATATATATTAATAATTTTCTCATATGTATATATATCCTTTATTGTTTTTATTATTAATTTTTCTAATATTTGTTCCTTTATTTTTTTAAGAAGTTCTTTAATTATTGCCAAAGTCATTATTTTTAATTTATTATAAATAGGTTTTAAAAATATATAACTACCTTTTTCTTCTTCTAAACACCAATAATTATTTATTTTCTTTATTTTAATTTCCATGATTTCTATGACTCTCATACCAATAAATGAGGTGCTACTTAGAGCGAACATAAATTTAATAAATCAAATAAATTGATAATCTATTAAAATTTATATAGTATTTTGATTTTCTAAGGACGAAAATGAAAGATTTATATATTTCATCAACTTATTATGCAATATTATAAAGGAGTATTTTGGATATCAAAATTAGCCAAAAGCTATTTTGGAAAATGACCTTTTTATTTGGATCATTTCCATGTATTCCCTCCCTCAAAGGCCTCATCATACATTTCACTTCTATTCTATTCCAATTTTACCCTGTTGATACCAAGTTCAATTTTGGAGGGGAAGATAACATTTTCAAAATCAATTTGCAGAGAACGAAAAAAAAAGGAAAAAAGAGAAAAACGAACAAACTCTCCCTTTCATCTCTATTCTCACACACCGTGCTTACAGCTTTGAGCTTTCTACATCAAAGAAATGGCTGAAACCCTGAGCCCAAACCCGAAGCAGAGGGGACCCTTCTCCCCTTCAAGCCCTTTCTTCTTGGGCTCCAACAACGACAAACTTGAACGCGCTCAGGCACGCGCCGCTCGAGCCGCCGCCGTTCGCCGGAAACCTGTCGCCCTTACGACTGCAACTTCTCCCAAGGCGGATACATTGCTCGGAAAAGAACAGATCATCGAATTGTTTCAGAATTGCATCAAACTAGCCAGCGAAAACGTTTCCCCTCTTTTGTGTTTTATATCTTTTTTTTTCCCGTAACTTTTGAGAAATTTGATCATGAATTGTTTTATGATATTTATGGATTTTCAGAAAATTAATCAGAAGAACACTTGGGAACTGAATTTGATAGATCATCTTTACGAGATCGTTAAAGTCGAAGAAGAGAATGACGTGGAAACCAATTTTCAGAAGGTGTGTTTTTTAATTAAATTCATTGTGCCATTTATTTTGTCCCATACAGTTCAACTCTTTGTTGCTTATGAAGGAATATTAAGGTCTTTCAATTTCGAGAGATGTGGTTTTTGCCTGAGCATATGCTGGATTTTGGTCAATTACACGCCTATCTGCTGCAAATTCTTTTCTTTTTCTTCTGATTTTTTCTTCTTAATTTTATATTTCAAGCAATGACTTCTTCATGATAACCTTTTGAAAAGCGTGGCAAAAAAGGATTGTTTTAGGAGCAATGTGTATTTTTAAATATGCATGCTTCCTCCAAGTTAGTATAAAAGTGAGTACTGACTTCAGCGGCTGTTACGTTGCACAACGCAATTGTTGTTTTGTTTGGGTATGTTCAATACATACAAGCAGGCACTATATAAACAGCATACGTATTATTTATGGTTTTATGTTAGGCAAGTTGTACCCTTGAAGCTGGAGTTAAGATTTATTCAATGAGGGTGGATTCAGTTCATTCAGAGGCATATAAGGTTCTTGGAGGAATTAATCGTGTCGGGCAAGAGGATGAACAAGGTTGGATTTGCCGAGGCTTCATTTTCATTTGTATTGTACTACATATTTTGCTATTTTGCATGTAGGAATTATCTTGCTTTTAACGTTTCATATGAAGTATTGAAATGATGTATTTTGATGTCACTCAGTTCACGAAATGTTATATTTACTAATTTCGAGATATAATTTAGTGTTAACTTAATTTCTATAATGGAGTGTTTGAAAAAAATATTCTTTTCCTTTTCCTTTCGGGTAAAATGGACAGGAGGATACTTAACTTTCATCATTCTTTTGTCTATTGGATATGTTTTGGTTACCATTGATCTACCTTCGAATTTTTAGTGCTATGTATTCTGCCAATTTATGGGAGCTAAGCTCAAACTGGGTATGGTTTGAAAGTTGGGTTGAGAAATTCAAACAAATGGTAAAAATCGTGTAGTGATATGACTAAATTATGCCGAAGTTTAGAAGCCATGGTATAGAAGCATCAGATTCTGCGACATTTGGGGCAGTCCAATTAAAACAAACAATAAGTCAGCTGAAACACATATAAAAGTTTCACTCATAAGCTGATTTGATAAAGTTAAGTGGACTCTAAGAACCTGCTCTAAAACTAGTTCTTTATCCTACAAACTCAGATTCTTCACCTTCATGGCTTTTCGTGTTATCTTTCTTGGTTAGTGTAAATATAAAGAATATTGTCGCACTGATTTACAATTCTATCCTGTTAGCTTTACCAAAATGCCACTTCCTGTCACCATGACATAGCTATTGCTTTCATTTTGTCTTGTTTCCAAGTCATAGTTACATGGGCATGAACAATCTCCATTTTACATTCTGGATATGCTTATACTCCTTGCCCATATTTAATGCACAGAATGTGTTTTAAATCTTGTCAGTTCTAGTCTTTGCTGGGCATTGAATAGCATGTCTCCTACTTTTGGTAATTTCTAGTTTATTGTCTATGCCAGATAATGTCATGGAGAATGCCAATATTGATAATGAGCAAGAGGAAGGCCACTCAAAGAAACAGCAAGAAAGAAAGGTTAAGCATTTCTTCTCAATAAAATATATCATGAAGTTGATACATTATCAATTATAAATTGGAAAGAGATTGGACATTGATATAGTTAAAGAAATACTTGCAGTTGTCACCTTTGTCCACACTGGAGTCATCTTTCGAGGCTCTAAACGTGAAGAAGTTTGATGGTAAGTGCTTCTAAAAGGTTTTTCACATGAACGTATATAAATTGGCTCTTTGCTAGAATTCTTTATGGTTCTCTCTTTATCTACTTTTGCCCTTTCGTGTGCATGGTTGCCTCTACTTATGTCTTGATAAGTTTCAATGTTCTATGGTTGCCTTTTAAATTGTTATCTTCATCGCTTTATCTCTTTTCCTCTCTCTAGGCGTTTGATCATCTCTCTCACTCTCCCTCTCTCCCCCTCCCTTTCTCTCTCTATCCATCTTCATAGTTGCCTTTGTGGTGGATCCTCTCTACCATCAGACATCTGCACAGTTCGATGAAGGTGGGGCAAAGGGTCTTTTGCTGAACAATCTTGGAGTATATGGTAACTGCCGAGTGCTATTTGATTCTCTGGAAGTACCTGGGCGGTGCTCATCTTTTGAGGCTGAAGGTGACGGCAATGAGAAAATTGATGTATCTTTTGCTGGAGGTATAGTAGCTTCTGTGATATGTCTTTGTTCTGCTTTCTACTTTCCCTTTGCATGCAAAGATATTTGAATTTTGTTTTTGTCCAATTTAAGCCTCTTTTAATTTTATTTTTGTTCAGAATGCATCGAACAAATGGTACTGGACATGCCTAAGAAGAATGAAATATCACCCAGTCTTAGGGCTATATTCGATCTATTTGACGAAGATAAGCAAGAACTATCTGAACCATTCTCTTCAGGACAAAGTTGTTCTGGGCTAGTTTTCCAAACTGCCGATAGTAATAATGAGGAAGATAGTGATGCATTTGGGAATTTTGGAACTTGGGGCTTGGATCATGATGACCAAGCAAGTGTGGTAGACGAAGGATCTTATGATCACGATCAAATTTTACCAAGCCAACCGGAGGTTCTGATAAATTAGTTTTGGTTGCCATAAATCCAGCATATGTTTTAAGTTATCATTCTAATGGAAGGAAATATCATAAATGCTGATACTCGTGGTTAATTGTTGCAGGATAATAAACATTTTATTTTTGATGACCTTGACGAGGATAATAATCCCGAGAATGTTGATGGCTATTTATTTTCAAGTTTGGGATTTGCATCAAAGAAAAATGCCTGGGCGGGTCCAGATCATTGGAAGTATCAGAAGGGTAAAGGTAAAGAAATATCATAATTTTTTTTTCTCCTGTTTGTTTGGCATTTAACAGACTTCTTTTACAGATTCTAAAGATCCAGCAAAGGATAATGGATTACCAACGACCAAGAAAGCAAAAAACAGAAAAGCAGAATCTGACATTAAGTTGTCAAATGTCTTGGACACTGATGCATCAGATATCTTTGCTCCTCCAAAGAACCCCAAGTCCCTGTTCCTGCCAACAAATAGAGCACCCTGTAACACTAAACTTCCAGAAGACTGCCATTACCAACCAGAGAATCTCGTGAAGCTATTTCTGTTACCTCATGTTACGGTAAGCTTCAACAATCCCTCCCAATCTCCCCTTCACCTAGAAAAGCGGAAGCTTATAAGTTAGCGGTGAAAACATATAAGTTAGCGGTGAAAACAAACTGTGTATCTTGCTGGAACTTTAGTAGTTTAGTTTCTCAGTGTGGCTGCGAAAATTCAATCCTGGGTTATGTAATGATTTATTTTTTTATTTCCTTATTTCAGTGCATCAGAAGGAGAGGAAGCAAGACAACAGGTGAGGATTTCTTCTATGAATCTATATTATTCAATCATATAAACTTTACATTTGGGACATTCAAGTATTTAGCTGTATTCCCAATTGCAAATGATTTAGCATGTTGATAATATTTAGAATTTTATTTCAGTATGTCCAAGTAGCATGGAGTCATAGACACATGCAGAGTAACAATTGCAAAAAGATTGCTGTTTAATTGATTGAGAGCTGTAACATTATAAAGTAATATATTGGCTTTATTGGCAAATTAGACCCACAAATATTCCTAAAAGTAACATGATTATCTTCGCTTGGTTTTTGTCTTGTACTTAATATAAAATATTACTATGAAAAAATTCTACAATTTTAGCTCCAAATAGAAAATTTGTAATTTTTTAATGCGAATTATGGACGCTGGAAAGTGAACATTTCAAGCCCGAACTTTTTGGTTCAAAGAGCTTCATGAAGAAATTAATATTTGTGCAATTCATTTGTCTTGAGAGAGGAAAACTTTAAGCTTTGGCTTTATTAGCATTTATTTGGGAGTTCACCTTTCAAAAGCCCCCAGATCTTTGTAAACAAAACTCAAGCAAAATGTCACATTATTTTGGTGATTTTGAAGTAAATCATATTTAACTGCATTTTAGCCCTTGTTTGAGCCCCATTTTCGTCATTAAAATACATTTTTGAAATAGTATATTAATGTGAAATGTGTGGTTAAAAAATAAGGAAAAATTTTGAATTTGCGTGTAATATTATTTTATTGAAAAATGTGTGATTAAAATAATGTCAAAACACTGTTTATGAATGCATTTTTTTCAAAGAACAAGGCTCAAACAAGGGATTAATATTTATCTCTCCCTCCCTTTTCTCTCTGCTTTGATTTGTATCTCACAGCATTTTATGTGGAGTGTAAGTCTATAACTTGCGATTTCGTTATGTATTTCTATTTTTCCTTTGTAAGCTAAATCATATCTTTACCATGTCTTATCAAGACTCAATTAAAATTTCCAAACTAGTTTCCTTTGGAGACTAGTGCTAACCCATTCTTGTGGTTAGATGAAGTAAGTCAACAGAGAGATGAATATGGAGAAATGCCATCATGGGATGATGAAGGTGGTTTTGGAGGCACATTTGATGATGGAAATTCTTATAGTGATGTTGATGAGTCAAGCACTTTGGTTTCTCAACCTCGACAGGTTAGTATCCTTGTCCTATATTTAGCCCTTGTTTGAGCCACATTATTTTCATAAGAATACATTTTTGAATAGTTTGTTGATGGAAAATGCATGGTTAAAAAATGAACTTTTTTTTTTTTTTGGATTTGTGTGTAATATTATTTTATTTAAGAATGTGGTTGAAATGATGTCAAATCACTGTTTAAGAATATATTTTTTTGAAAGAATGGGTCAAACAAAGTCTTACTATAATTTAATGGTGTTGTCAGCACTAAAATGATTTGCCCATGTTTGATTTGGATAAAAATTATATTTTTAGTAAATTGATAAAAGTTAGTCAAATGTGTGGTTGAATGTCGATAAAGTTGTAAGTTCCATTAAATGTGTAGTTGAAAATGAGTTTTAAGAACTGGGGGCCGACTAGGGGCTTAATGTGCCATACATTGTTACGATTGTATTATTACGATTCGTGACACTTTGGTACTAGATATTAAAATTTTCAATGTAAAAATTTGGGTGCTATAATCTCTATCAGGGTAAGTTGAAGCTGTATGGTTAGGATGTAAGCCAGGTCGATGTTTTCTACGACTTCCACGTGAGTTTGCATTTTTATAGATAGGAGCTGTTCTCTGGTTATTTGGTATTCTCAGAGTCTACTTTATTTTTGACTGGATACAGCTTTTGTTCTTCTTTACTTAGCATTCATTCGAGAGCATTTTCTTTTTATAAAATGAGAAATGTCATGTCTACAACTTCAGAATGCCATTTGTTCAGTTTTTCTTAGGCTTTAGCTGTGATTCTTGTAAATATTAAAACTGTAAATGTTGCAGATGATGGCATTTTGATTGAATTATAGATTAGCATTTTGATTGAATTATAGATTAAGCCCCTATTTTATGTAGATTTTTAAGAATAGGTTTTATAGAAAGTAATTTTTTTCGAAAATGAGTGGTTTAAAAGTAGGAAAGCGTAATGTGTTCACGCGTAAATTATTTTATTGGTAGAGCGTGCGGTTGAAAATGAATTTTATAAAATCTGTACCAAATAGGAGGTAAGTTAATCTAGAATGTTTATGGTTCATTCATTCTCTTTTCTCCAATAGGATCAGTCTGACCTATGTTAACATCTAGACCAGAGATGAGTAGGGTGCATGCCATGAACTAAAAAGGGAAAAGAAAGAGTCGTGTGATTACTTACTACCTATGCACCTGCATCCCATAAAAAAAAAACTTTCTCCTCACCAGATGAAATATCTTTATTCCCAATAAATATGGGTAACCAGGATCAATATTTTTTCTACCTTTTTGTGGTATCATCTGTGGGTGTGCAACCAACCATCTGAATCAAACAGCTACGGTTGGGATTTAAATTTTGCCTAGGGTACAAGTGTTTCCCTTGAGACAATGTTATCAGTACTAAACAGTTCAAATTTTTATAGCCCCAGTTTGGTACTCATTTTTGGAGCCAAAAATACATTTTTTCCGTCACATCAGCACACAATTTTTGACTTCTACACTATAATGGGGGACCCGCGATATGATGTTTAAAATGCATTTTCATTTAAAAAATGTGCACCAAAAGGACTCATAATTTGTGGACGTTAGGACCTGTTCTACTGTACGCACTCCTTGTATGCTAGACAATTAAATAAAACGCAAGACCAAATCTTTGTTTTTGCTTTAATTACCTACTTATCTGATAGTGTTCGTTAATCTTAGAAACCAGAAAGTGTAAATGAAGTATTAGATCAAAAGTAGAACTCAAAAGACACTGTATTTTGTATCTTAGGTATTAATAAAATGAAGAAGCTTCCTCGGGAAATATGAAAACTCAGCAACTCTCTCACTAATAACTTAATCCATCTTCCTAGGTTATTTTATCATTAGAGGATAGATAACATGTGAATATGTGGAATAAAACTGCTTCTTTCCTTTTGGACAATGAGAAATATAAACTCCTTAATCTAAAATTCTCTTCCTCGTAAATAAGGATTTAGTGATAAGCATGGAAGTGATGTTTCATTGTTTCTGTCTTTTTTTCTACTGAGAAATTGAATATGATTTAACCGTGTGTGGCAAATCACTTACTTGCTGAGGGTATATTTGTCATAGAGCCTGCAGCATGGGTGTTGCACTTCTAAATTTAAACTTTTCAAATTTTTGCAATTCTAAATTAATTTTAGTTAATTAGTTATACATATTTCCAAAATCTAGTGCTTAGTTTACTTGAAAATATGTTGCAGTCAATGTTAACTTTTTATCTCCTTGTCTGTATGAACAGATTAGTAAGATTGAAGTTCAGTTCGATAAAACATCTAAACAAGTTGATGTTCACTCACTTAAAGAAACTCTGTGGGACCATATGCAGAAATTAAATGAAACTTCAATTCAGGTAAGTCCACATTCTTTCGAAGATCTGATTATACTTAATTCATAATTGAACTCGATACAACTTCAAATTGAACTGTTAATAACCAATTTCACGATCAGTATAGAGAAAAAAGTTTTTTTATTCTATTAACCCGCTCATGTTCAAAACATGAACAACAAACTTCTTTCACGTGTAATGACTTAAACTTTAGTTGAGTTGGTTATTAAGAAGACAACGTAGTAGAGAAATCTCTGTGCTGCTTTGAATAAATTATAAATAATTGAACAATCACAACAATTTTAGGCTTTTAGATAATGCCCTTGTTTGGGCTCCATTTTAATGAGGTTTTGGGGAAAATGTATTTTGGAATAATAATTTTTTGGAGAATGTATGGTTAAAAAGTAAGGAAAAGTTTTGAATTTATGTATAAGAATCGGGTTGAAAAGAAGTTTTGAGAAAATATATTTTTAGTTTAATGGAGCCCAAAAAAGTTCAATATATCACCCAATAGTTCAATCCTTGGAAGCTCAATATGAATTTCTTTTATTATATTCTACTCCTGTCACGAATCTCTCGTTTGGGTAGGTTGTTTTCAAACATATAAATATATGGGAAAGATGCGAAATTTAGCATTCTCATCAATCCTATTATAGTGGGATAACAAAAGAAAATTCCTCTTCTATGTGGGAAAGTCATCCTTAAGAATTAGGACATAGGAAAAATCAATCGAATACTCTGGGATTGTCTCCAAATTGAAATTTTTTCAATACAAATATAAAAAATGGAATGTCTAACAGGCGCTTAATGGTAGAATTAAACCAGTCAATTCCAACAAAATTTAAAAAGCAAATAAAATATCTGTAAAAGATTATATCTTAAATTAAGGTACATAATTGTCTTGAGTATTCACTTGACAACCGAAAGTGATCGCACCATCCAAGGGAAGCAGACTGAATATGGATTCATAAGATTCTTATATATTCTTACCAAACTTTAGAGTGCTATTTACAGCAACAAGTCATTAATCAATATTTTCATTAGCAATTGTAAATCTAAATAGATATACGTATATGAACAAAATTCAGCTTTGCCTTCTACTGATTCTTGTTTTGTAGTATCTTTAGTCAGTTTTTTCCTTATCAAACTGGTATATGAAAACTTCAGCTTTACAAGTTGAGTGATTAATAATCGAAGAGGGTGATTGCTTACTTCACACAATGCTTAGTTATACTAAACATTTCACAGCAAGGCAGTTTCAATGGATTTTGGCTGTATTTTTGAAGCTTAGTTCTCATTTAAAAATGCAAATTCTATCAATCAGTTATGAACCGGGTGTTCCCACGTAGAGAAAGCCATATATATCATGGTGGTTTGTTTAGGGATAAAGATGTGAACTCTGAAACATGGAAATGTAACAAACAGTTTTGGGTGGAAGCTTTGGAACGAAAATGTAACAAAAAATTACTGGAGGAAGGCCATCATGAAAAAGTAGAATCTTAAGTAATCTGCCACCGGTTGGACTAGAACGTGTTTGTTGCTTACATTTTGTTAAGTTGAAACGTATTTTGTAATTGCATTTTATATCATAGCCTTTATTTATTTCACAGTGTATCCAATTGTTGTCCCTTCACCCTCTCACGCCCTTTCTTCCCCTTGCTCCCTTGGTGTGTGTGTCAATGTTCTAAAAAGCAAAGTCTAGGCGTAAAATGCCCCCGCTCATGCTTTTTTGTTTTATTTTTATTATTTTTAAAATTGTTTCTCTTTAATTATTAAATAATTTTTAGATTGATCGAAAAATTAAAAGTAATATTAAAATTTTTACGCCTAAGCTGAAGCTTAGCCTCTACCCTTTTTAGAACACTGGTGCATTTGAGTTGTTATGGGTGTGAGGGCGCTATTATACTAGTACCATTATATAAATTAAATATCTAATTATGGACTGTTTATATTATGGGGGAAATGCAGGATGAAACAGTGTCTTTCAGGCAAGCCTTGGCCAGTTTCCCAGATGAGTGCAAAGCAGCATCAGTTAACGACATATCTCCACATTTGTGCTTCATATGCCTATTGCATCTAGCTAATGAGCACGGATTGTCGATTCATGGCTCTCCCAGCTTGGATGATCTCAGCATACAACTTAAATGACATGCTATAATGTCCCAGCTTGGTTGATCTCCACATTCAAAGGGAATCATATTCCACTATAGCAATCTGGTATTCATTTTCCTTCGTTAAAAGAAGCCCTTCTCTCACCGCTAATGTTTCTGCATCCTAAATTTCTGAACTGTGTTGTTTAAGTCCAATGTCAGTGTAAACAGCAGGTCAACATTAATTGATTTTCTTTGTTTCTTTATTTGGTTTGTTCTTTGATACTTCAAGTTCTTAATATTTTTGCATGGCAGTTTATACATATAGAATGTACTGAAAAAACTTGGATCTGTTAGATTTGATTTTTATTAATTTTAACACGAATTTGACCTTGGTATATAATAATTGTCTCTATAAAAAGATTAAAATAGGCATACAAAAAAATACTACGGTTTGCAGACTTCATCGTGGGACAATTGACTCCTATTTTTTTTGCAGAGCTTTCCAATCTCTGACTAGTGTTGCACTTGGATCTCCAAACTTCAGTATGGAGCATTTAAGTCTCCAATCTTTCATTTTGTTAGCACTTAGTTTTCATTTCAATGGACGATGGTAATTATATTTACACCATAATTTTTATTTGTTGCACCATATGTTGATTGACCTTAACGTTCTCAACGTTTACCTACACAACACTTATGTTTTAACTTTTTATCATTGAATTCTTACATTCAATTTTCTATTACATTTTGTTCTTGATGATGGTTTTGATCGAAATATTTCATTTGTGTGCTTTGAAATGTGCATAAAATATTAAAATGTTTTCTTTTGTTTTTGTATTTATTATTATTTTTACATATGATGGGCAAACGAGTCGTTTTAAGTTTTTTCAAATTTCAATGGACTTGATGGAAATCGCATTAGAGAAAATATGTGCTAACTAATGAAGGATTGACGATAAACAAACAAAAATTAAACGGAAAAGCAAGTAGGATAAAGAAAAGAAAGTGAAAAAAAAGGAGAGAGAGAGAGAGAGAGAACAGTTAAAATGTACACATGTTGTGTTGTTGAATTTTGAAATAAAATTAACTCCTTCCTGCCTACTCATTTTGCACCTATAATGGGTCACAGGGCTTTAACAGAATTTTATTTTCTTTCTCCGTCTTTACCTTAGTTCCAACATTACCTCCAGGCAATACTTATTCGTTGTACATTAGCTGCAATCAGTGTATTGATCGATCAAATCATAAATTCTCTCTCTCTCTCTCTCTCTCTCTCTCTCGTATAGTGAAGGTGGTTGGATCGGGCATCAGCTCATAAAACAAGGCTTCTATAAGAATTTGAAACTTAGTTATATGTTATATGTTATTGAATCATGACCTTAGCACAAATATAACATGAACGATAAATTTCTATTTATTAATGAATTGAAATGTCCTAACACAAAAACCTTACTTTCCAACACATACAATAGTAATTTGGTACTCATTTTTAATTATTGATCAAAACAATATTAAACATGCTAAAAGAGTTAAGCCATCTATGCATGAACCAAAAGAATCAAACGCAAACTAAAGTTAAGTTCTATGTAAGGTAAGATTACATGTGAAATTTGCAGAGATAGATCTAGGATCAAACAACAAGTCAGATTAATACGTAAAAAAAAAAAAAAAACTACACTTAGAATGCATTTAATTGCAAGTATGAAATTTGCATAAAAAAATAAATTTGAAGCAAATTGTCTAGAATTTATTTGTAAGAAAATTGTCAATTAAATATTTTGGTTGATTTAATTTTCTACCTATAGCTTGTTTGGTTTAGACTAAAATCTGATTTTAAATTAAGTCAAAGTCAAATAATCAATATTAACAACACCTTCCATGGGTCTCATAACTTTTCAACCACGTATTTCAAAAACATCCATCACAATTTACTAAAAAATCTAATTTTAATCCCCACCAAATATCCTCCTAGAAAATATTATTCTTATCGTTTTTTTTGGGTGGGTAGATGAGAGAAAAACAGAGCGAATTTCCTAAAAGTAAAATCCTACTCCCTTTGAAGGAAATATTTTCTTTGATTTTCAGGAAAATATGGTCATATGATCAAAAGTAGAAAAATATTTTCATTAAAAAAATGTCAATTTGTTTCGCGCGGGTTGTCGCTAACAATTAAAAAGGGATCAGACGATTGTGTAAGGAATAAACCTCTTGAGAGAAAGTCCCAAAAATGGGTGTTTTATTGGCGATGACTTTACAATTGGAATTTAAACAGAATGCCTCCAAGGGACGCAAGCACACAGTACTGAAAAGAAATGTTTTACGTTTAAACTAAGGAATTGAAATTACATATTCTCTGTTTGAGAGTGTTTGATTCGGGGTCCTTTGCTGTATGTCTTTTCTTCCTTTTATATTCTCTTGATGATCTCTTCGTGATCAACCGCTTAATTGCTTTATAACTGCCCACTTTCTTCATGGTGGCGAACTTATCGTGGAATTGCCGTCCCTAACTGCTGCCACTACTTTTTGTCATTCAACCGTCTTCAACTGAACATCCTTGAATCGTGGAACGTGATAAGATTACCCAATAATTGTTTCGATAACTGCACTTTTGGATAACCACAACATCTTATGTTTGCTAAGATCCTGGGCGATTCGATGGTTTGGGCGAGAACAGGGTCATAACTCTGGGCGACTGCAAGGCACTTCATTCGCTCAGATATTGGGCGTCTTGCAAGTTTGGGCGATGGTGTTACCGCGTTCGTGGGCTTCTACTGCATTCATTGATAACCCTATTCGGGCCTTTATCCTGAATTGTCCAGATGGGCTTCATTCTTTGGGCTATTCGATTTGGGCTGCACTTTCAGCGTGTCAACAATTACCCCCCAATATGGCAGAATTAATACAAATTATTAATTTTTGCCATATTTACTTTGTGTTTCCCAGCAACATTTGAAATTTCCAAGAATTTCAATCATTATTTTCTTCCATAGCCTGAAAAGGCGCAACGTTGCAAACCCTTATAACCCCTAAATACACGCCATTTCATCGCACTATTAAATCACGCCTCATTATTTCGCGCTTCTCTCTCGCAATATTACTGTTCATCTTCTTGCTTCTCTGCTACGTTTCTCAAGCAAACTTTAAAAAAACTTTATTTCGTTCCTAATGGCTGCTTCACAATCCCAATCTGGTGACTCTTTCAGTTTCGAAGACTTCCAGAAACTCCTCACTCGGCCATATATAACTTCGAACTTCCTTGCACCAGCCAATGCCGAACTCAACGAGTTCTATCTAGGTCCTACATTCAACAACGTTGAGGCCGTCGAACAATTGGCGGTGGGCCAGTCGTTCCCTTGTACTCAAGGCCCTTCGTTTCTAAACTCTTTGTCGCTGAGGCCGCTTCGCGAAAGAGATACTCGCACTTGACCTAAATCTGATATTGTTTTCCGTAGATGGCATGCTCGCCTTGTGGACCATGGTCCTACCAAGGCAATTTTTGATAGTGCTAGAATTTCTGATTTGTTAGAAATCTTTCTTCAACCCCCTACTTTTGATCCAGCGCTTTTCCCTATTGCTTTAAGTTTTTGGTCCTCTGAGTATAATACTTTTGTTTTCCCTCTTGGTCCCATGTCCATTACTTTAAGGGATGTTGGGGCTTTAGTAAATCTACCACCTTTGGGCGATACCATTTTCCCTGGTATTTTGATTTCTGGTGTAGCCTCAAAATTTGACAGAAAACTTACCGAGTCCTATTCAAGCCTGCAAAGCTGTTATAATCACTCGAGCGCTGAGTCTTCCCATGCTGAGTGTGTGACCTTTCTTCAGATTTGGCTTTGTAAATGTGTTCTGTGTGCGCCAAGCATGAAGCCTTCTATGAGCTATTTACCCATAGCGCATGAATTGGCGCGTGGTAGGCCTCTGAATTTGTGTTCTTTCTTTTTGGCCGCCCTCTATAGAGGCATGGCTTCTCTCCAATTCCAATTGAAGAATGGTGCATCTCCCACTGGCAGTGGGCCTCTTTGGTTCACTTAACTATGGTTGAGAGCCTATTTTCCATCACTTGGTGCTCTATCATTTTCCCGTCATTCTGCTAGCTGTTATGGGCTAGCTATTGACCCACTGAACCATGTAAATATGTCCAGAAGAGAGATCTTTTCATTCTTTTATACTTTGAATTCAATTCCTTCTTTCTTTCCTTTTCCTCTCCTTTTAACTCCAGATTATGTGCAACCCCCATCCACCTTGGACGGTGCGAGCACTTCTCTACTCGTTTGGATTCAGTTTTTGATCGAGAGGGAGTTGTTCCGTGATATTTTGACTGGAACCAATGCCAAAGTTGGGGTTGAAATATATGCTCCCCAATTTTTTGCTCGCCAACTTGGGTTTGGCCAAACTTGGCCCGTTCCTCCTTGTTATTCAAGAAATTTGATAGATCGCTTCCACACCATTAATAAGGCAGAGGTAGAAGCTATAGATGCTCGCAATATTCTTTTGACGAGTAACTTTTCATTAGCCCCCTTCAATCCTAGCCATGCCATCCATCCCCCTTTTGAACAATTCTGGCCATCAGTGCAGCGCAGATTGTTTGCAACTGATGCCAATCGCGCTTTCCATTCACTGGACCGGCCAGACATTTCTTCCACTGTTCTTGTTTTGGTCACCCCTGTGTTCATTAGGAGTCCTTCCTCTTCTGCTCATGCTAAACAGTCTGTTCATCCATCTACTTCTCTTCCTACCAAACCTACTGCAGCTAAGAGTGCCCCAAACCGTAAACGGCCAGCCTCAGCATCTCCCATTTTGGAGGATGATGATGATGATGATGATGATGACACTCCTCTCATTGTCAGGAGAAAGGTAATTAAATTAGTTTACTCACAAGCATACCTTTCTATACTTGAAACTTTTCTATGTGTTGATGGCTTATTCGGATTTCTCAGAAGAGCTCAGCCTCTCCTTTGAAGGCTTTGGTGTTGGCAGCTCCTGCTTCATCACCCTCTGCTGAGGCTGCTTCATCCAAACCAGCTGATGAAGGGACTACGCTTAAAGAGAAACTTTCAGTCCCGGAATCCTCATCACAACCAATGGAAGAGCCATCTTCTTACCAGGGCATCAACCCCCCAAACGTCGAACCAGAAGGTAATACATTTTTTGATGTTTTACTTTTGCTTGTGCTATTAATTTTTGATTTGTTGCCTTTTGAGTTCTGCAGATGCTCCCATGGGTTTGCCCGTTACGGCAAAGTCTTCTCGCTCAGATAAGGGAAAGTCCTTACAAGTGGTAGATTTGGCTGGGGATATGCCACTTCCCAAGATTGCTAATGTGGTAATCTTTGCTTCACTTTTACTTCCACTTTGTTCATTGTAGTGAAAACCTTCAATGTTGGCAACTTTCTTTGCATGATGCTGATAGGATTGTGCGTTCCATCCGGGACTTGTTCACTTCCTGAGGGTAAGTCAAGACGTCTCGCCTTGCTTCGACTAGTCGTCCTTCTGCTTCTTCAGAGGAAGATATGAAGTTCCTCAAGCAGTCGATATTTGAGTATGTGTCTTTTATGGATATGGACATCGGTCAAGCTAGTGCTACCAAACATAAGGATAAGCTCGAGCATTTGAGTGCGAAGTTGGCGCAAGCACTGACACTTCCATCGCTCAATCTTTCTGTTGATTTTAAAGCGACGT